AGCCCTGCTGCACACCGTTTTGGATTTTAACCATGCAGTATTTCCTTGCTCTGTTTGGTCAACAGCGTCTTTGTTCTGGGAGTCCCATTCTTTCAATGTTGGCAAACATTGTTGTGATCCACACAGTCCAATGCCTTTGCCTAGTCAATAAAACACAGGTAAAAATCCTTCTGGTATTTTCTGCTGTCAGCCTAGATCCATTTGATACCAGCTGACCTCCCAGTGGATTTTCAGAGGCAGTAAATTGCATGGGAAGAGATGCAAAAAGAGATGCAAATTCAAATTAATTTTCCTCTAACTGAACTAATGTCACACTAGAGGTAAAGACTATTCCCTCCCGCCCCCAGAAATAAAGTTCTTCTTTTGTTTTAAAAGTTTCAGAATTTGAAGCTGAAGGAATTCTACTGTGACGAGAACCCACTATTACTGAAGCAGCCAGTGTATGCTTTGGAGCTGAATGAGGTCTTGACATTACAGGTGAGAGCTTAGATCATTCTCACAAGTCGTCAAATTCAAGCCATGGTTTCAGTTTTAGAGAGATTTTTTTTTGCAAGCATTCTAGATATGCCAGCAAATGATTAATGAAACCTGAGCCCACTGCCAAGATGTTGTTGTTGTTGTTGTCGTTGTTGTTATGTACCACTGAGTTGCTTGTGACTCATAACAACCCTATGTACAACAGCCCTAAACCCTGCTCTATCCTGTTCCAATTACACTGTCTCCAATACACCCATCCTAATTGCCCCAATCGTTGAATCAATCCACCTCATAGAGGATCCCTCCACCCCTCCCAAGCATGATGTCACTCTCCAAGGACCAGTCCATAAAATCTTTTTCTTTTGCTTACAAAATTTAATGTCATCCTATCTGATCCCCACAGAGACAAAATTCATGTAGTTTTTATTATGTGCCTCATAGACCCTATGTGCAACATCTCTGAACCCAGCTCTATATTGAGTCAACCTCATTGTCTCTGACACACCTATCCCTGTTACCCCAGTTACTGAGTCAATCCATCTCGTCTAGGGTCTTCTTCTCTTGTGCTGTCCCTCCACTCTTCCAAGTTTGATGTCCCAAGGACTGGTTCCTGCTTGCAACATGGCTAAAGTATGTCAGAAGGACCTTCAGAATTCAATACTCTTTGCCAGCACCAAAAATCAAAGGCATCAATTCATTTTCTCTCATCCTTAGCCATTGTCCAGATTTTCAATGCATAGCAAGTAATTGCAAAGACCATGGCCTGGATTAGGTACATCTTAGTCTCTAAGCTGACATCATTTCTCTTCACTACTTAGGAGAGGCCCCTGACAGCAGATTTTCCCAGTGCAATTAATGTTTTGATTTCCTGGCTGTTGCTACCAAAAGTGTTGACTGTAGACACAAGCTGAAGCTGTTAACAATCTTACTCTCTTCACTATCTAGCATGATGCTGCCAACTGGTCCTGGGGTGAGAATCTTTGTTTTCTTGATGTTGAGTTTCAATCCATATTGAAGGCTGCAGTCCTGGACCTTCTGCAGCAAGCGCTTAAATCCTCCTCTGTTTCAGCATGTAGGGTTCTGTCATATGCATAACACAGGCTGTTAAGTCTACCTCCAATCCTGATGCCACATTCCTCATCATAGAGCCCAGCCTTGCAGATGATCTGTTCCACATATAGATTAAAAAGGTATGGAGACAGGATGTATTCCTGGCATATAACTTTCCTGATTTTGAACCATGCAGTGTTTCCTTGCTCTGTTCTGATGTCTGCTTCCTGGTCCAAGTAAAGGTTTCTCATAAGCACAATCAAGTGTTTTGGGATTCCCATTCTTCTCAGAGTTAGCCAGTTTGTTGTGATTCACACAGTCAAATGCCTTTGCATAATCAATGAAACACAGGTAGACATTCCTCTGTTACTCTCTGCCTTCTGCCAAGATTCATCTAACATTGGCTATAATATACCAGGTACTACAGTCTCTTCTAAACTTAGCCTGTGCATCTAGCTGTTCTCTGTTGATGTGCTGTCCAGTTGTTTTTTGATAATTTTCAGTAGGATCTTTCTTGCATGTGATATTAATGACATATAGAGACTTTATTTGGATCAAAATAAAAGAATTGATCTTCTTTTTAACTCTCCCAGTAAATTTCCAGTGTTTTCTATGGATGTAATAAATGTGTTCTAAGCATGCCCCTTGTCTCAGCCATTCTCTTCACTTATCCCTTTTCTTCTTGGACAAGTGAATAAGATCTAGAATTCAGTTTCACTTTAGGGAGACAAATTGATGATATTTAAAGCAAAGCAAAACCAAGAAAGATTTGTAGAGTCTCTTTGGATTCTGTTGGGTGGTTTAGGAATTAAAAAAAGAGACTATTTTTCCATAATTACAATTACCAATCATGAATCTGACTTTACAAATATATTTATATAACTGAACATGATGGATTGTCTTAATGTTTCCGAAAGTGCCTAGGGATTCAATTTTCTTTCTTGCAAGAAATAATCTTGTTTAGTGATTTAGTGCATTTTAAAAATTCTTTCCTCCTTTTAGCAAGTAATACACATTCATTATATGTCTCTTCTACATGTGTTTGTGAGTATTATCCTTTCTTATGAGATAGTATTCTGAAGGATTAGGTTTAGGATATGTTCTACTTCATTGTTACTGTTGGCTAGCATTGAGTTGACTATCACTCGCAGTGACTCTAGGAACTACAGATCTGAGCATTTTCCTGTCCTGCATCGTCATGATATTTGTCATGCTCAAGCCCATTGTAGTTGCTGTGTCCATCTCATTGAGGGTCTTTCTTCTTTTCACTGACCCTCTACCTTTTGCAGCATGATGTCTCTTTCCAAGGTTTGATTTTTCCTGAAAATATTTCCAAAGTAATTGAAATGAAATTTAACTATCCTTTCAAATGTATTTATTCTTTGGCAGTTCTCAGAATAGTCATTCATCTTCACTAAAATCACAGTTCAAAGGCTTCAGTTCTTCTTATGTGTTCTGTATTCATTGTCCAAATTTCAGAGGCATAGGAAGCAATTGAAAAGTCCATTGCTTGGCTCAAGCACACCTTAGTCTTTCAACTGATATCTCTGCTCTTTATAACTTTAGAGAGGTCCTTGAAGGCAGATCCCCAATAAACAATGTTCTTTGATTTTTTTTTTCACTTCTACTGCTATGAGTGTTGATTCTGTATAGAAGTGAGATGAAACTTTGATCTTTTTTTCATCTATCATGACGTTGCCTATAGGGCCAGGGGTGAAGATTTTTGTTTTCTTGATACTGAGAAGTAACTCACTTTGTATTCTATAGTCTTTAATCTTCTTCAATATGTGGTTCAAGTCATCTTCACATTTTGCAAGCAGATTTTTGTCTTCTCCATAACACAGGCCATTATGAATCTTCCTCCAATCTTGATGCCTTAATTAATATAGAATTCTTTCACATTCTCATTCATATAGTCCAGCTTTTTGTATAATTTGCTCAGTGCACATATTGAAGAGGTGTGGAGAAAGGATACAACCCTAACACAAGTTTTCTACTTTTAAATCATGACTTATTTTCATGTTCTATTCAGACAACAGCTTCTTGGTCTATGTGTAGATTTCTCAGAAGCACAATTAAGTGTTCTGTGATTCCCATTCTTATCAATGTTTGTCATAATTTGTTATGATCCATACAGTCAAATGCCTTTGCATAATAAATAGATCAAAAGTGAACATCTTTCTGGTATTCTCTGTTTTCAGCTAAGATCTACCTGACAGAAGCAATGATACTCCTCTCGATTGAATTTCAAACAGATCCCTGTTGATTTATACCATTCCAGTCATTTAAAAAAGAATCTTCATCACGATTTACTTGCATGTGATATTAATGAGATTGTTCTATAATTTCTTGGTTCTCTTGGATCACGTTTTTTTCAGAGTGGGGAAAACAATCCTATCATCTCTTCTAGTCAATTGTCCAAGTAGCTGTCTTCCTTATTTGTTGGCAGAGACTGGTGAGCACATCAGGGTTGTATTTGTTTCCTGAAACAGCTAAATTGCTGTTATATCTCAATTTGACAGTACACCACAGCAACAATCTGCATTAATAGATGCTAGGTTCAGTGTTAAACCAGTATTATCTAATTGAATTCTGTGTGAATGTTGTTGTTGTTAAGTGTCGTTAAGTTGTAAAGTTGTAGGCTACTCATAGTGACCCTGTGAATGAAAGATCTGAACTACTTGTATAACTTTCATCCTTTCTCCAGGTTCATAGGGTTTCCAGAGGCAAGCTATTTTGGAAGTGGATGCCACTCCTCTTCCAAGCTTGTTTTAATTGGGGATCTCAACCAATCCCCGCTTTACAGATAGAGTATCTGATTTCTGAGTTTGTGTCCAAATGTTATTGTTGTTAGGTGTCATTGAATTGAGCATGATTCATAGTGACCCTGTGAACAAAAGATCTGAATCCTGTTCTATCCTGCACCATCCTCACACTTCCTGACACACAAGACTCATTGCAGCAGTCACTGTGTGAATCCAACCTGATTATTTTCCTCTCCTTCTTTGATCATGTCTTTCTTCAAAGAATACACCTCTTGGCAACATGTCCAAAGTATGTGAGGCGAAGCCTCATTAGTCTTGCCTCTGAAGAGCACCCCTCCAGCTGTACCCTTTCCAAGACATATCTGTCTATTCTTTTGACCATTCATGGGTTGTTCAGTGCTCTTCTCCAACACCATAGTTCAAAGGCATCAATTCTTTTTCTGCCATCCTTATTCATTGTCCAGCTCTTGGATGTGCAGCTAGTAATCAGAAAGACTAAGGCCTTAGTCTTCAAACTGACATCACTATGCCTCAATAATTTGGAAAGGTCCCAAACTGCAGATTTTCCCAGTGAAATGCATCTCCTTATTTGACTGTTGGTTCCAAGGGTATTAATTGTGCATCTAAGCAAGATGAAGCTGTTGACATTTTCAATCTCCTCTCCATCCATCATCATTCTGCCTATCAGTCCAATAAATTATGGAGACAAAATTTGAAATTAGGCATCTATTTAGATATCAGATGGATATCTTCATTCTTTATGCTATTTCCTTATGTTTCATGCATATAGTAATGCTTCCATGTGTAGCATTTTTTAAATGTTATCATGCCTGCTAAGGATTTATATTTGTTTTCACATCTTATACAAATATTATAAATTAAATAGTCACATGCAAGAAAAAGTAAAAATGCACTTAAAATGAATTCTAATATATGATTTATTAAAACTAGTTCTATTTTTCAAAATGTAGAAAATATTCTAGCCTAATTGTGTATCAGCTATTTAAAAGAAATAATTTTCCTAGAACAATTTGTTGATTTTTAAATACACTGGACTTAGATCATCATGTTATGTGTCTTTAACAAAAGTAAGAAGTGTTCTAAAAGAGTGGGTCACACTATTGCTCTTACTTTATATGTATTGATATATGTCCAAGCAATAACTTTACTTTCTCTTTTAGTATGATATTGGTAGCAAGTAAATGAAGGAAATAAGTAATGGGTGACATAAGCAGTGTCAAGAGATGTCATACATTTGAGTCCAGCAACCATAAATAAAAAAAGTGGACTGTATATAATTATTACTTGCTTATAGGTCCCATGTAATTCAGCAAATTCTTCCATCATCTGTTATTTCAAGGACTTAATCTTTGTCTCTGAGTTTTCTGCAGTTTTGTAGTGGGATTTAACAATTCGTGTAGCTAAAAACCACCACTGAAATAAATGTCTGATTCAGGAATACAAACTATAATGTGCTGCCGAAATTGTTAGAAAAACTATAATCATAGACACATAATTTACAAGTTGTGGTGATATTAGTGTGAAAGGGAAATTCTTTCAGAAATGATGACCTCAGTCTTGTAGGCATCCAAGAGAATGTGCTTAAATGGGTAGGAGGTTGTGTTGTGGAAGGATCAGGCATTTAAGAAACATACTTCTAGGGCAGTTTGCTGTCTAAAGGCAACTTTCCCAGGCATATTCTAATTTAGAGAATTAGAGAAATAGGGAATGGGGATGCAGCAAGCCATATGATTTTGTTGTTCTTATTAAAAAAATAATCTAAGATGTTAATTTGAGGAAATGTGTAAAAGATTATATATGTATATATATGTATTTATCTCCAAAATTCCTAACAAAACCCGATGTGAAATATTTTAATGCCCAAGGGAAATCTTTAACATTTGCAAGAAAAAAAATCCCAACTAAATCAACTCTATGCACTATTAAAATTTCATGCAGTATTTGTGTAACATTTATACAGAACTTCCACGTGACTGGCACAAGAAATGGGTGGCATGTAGTGGAGTAAGGCAAATGTATTGCTTTCTTTGCTTTTTCAAACAAACCTTTATGTGTATGCTTATATTCTTTTAATTTTAAGATAATGTTCATGATACTGATGAAAGGTATCCTCTATTTATTCACTTTCCATTTTATTATTTGATATTATAATAATATTATTTTATAAAGTCACTTTTCTTGGCTCTTGACCTGTCTGTGTGGATAGGGTTAATAAAAATGAAATGAAAAACTTTAGTTGATGGAAGTTGTTAATTTTTACTAAGATAGATATATTTAGGAACTCAGTGCTTGAAATACTGTAAATCAATAGGTATCAAATTTTAATGGTTTTTTAAATTGCAAATTCTAATTCACAAGGTCTGGGATGGGTGTGAGTGAACATCCCTGAAAAGCATCGAGGTGATGCAGATGTCATTGGAACTACACTTTGTAGCAAGGACTTATTGTTGTTCTTAGGTGTCGTTGAGTTGAGTTCATAGGGTCACTATGCCTGATCCTTCACTATTTTCACAATTTCTGCTGTGTGGCATTAAGCACTTTGTTGAAGTCATGGACATTCCATCTTGTTGTGGGTCTTCCTGTCCTTGACTCTGTACTTTGTTGAAGTCATGGACATTCCATCTTGTTGTGGGTCTTCCTGTCCTTGACTCTGTACTTTTCTAAGTGTAATGCTCTTTTCTAAGGACTGGCCCTTCCTGACAACAAGCCCAAAATATGAGAAAAGAATATGTGGCAAAGTGTCAAAATTTATCTTCTAAGGAGCAAATGGGACAGTGAATAAGGAAGACTGAAGAAAACTGGATGCCCTTGACTTGTGGTGTTTGTGAAGAACATCGATGACATCATGGGCTGCCAAAAGAACAACCAATCTGGCTTGGATGCAGTGTGACCCGGTTGCTCCTGAGCAGCACAGATGGTAGGAACACTTTGTCCTGTACACTTTGAGCATGTTGTCAAGAGGAACTAGTTCTTGGAAAAAAAGACATCATTCTGTAAGAGGAGAGGGTCAATAAAAGAGAAGAAAGATATTCAATGAGGTGGATTGACAGAGAGACAGCAACAACAACCTTAAGCTTGGCAGAGATTGTGAGGAGAGGGCAGGATAGGCATTGATCTGCTGTGCCTAGGGTCTCCACGAGTCAGAATCTACTCAATGCCACTGCGTTATAACAGCAAACCATTCTGGTTATGTGTCTTCTAAGACAAATGGGTTCTTTTGGCATTACTCTTCACCAATCCCACAATACAAAAGCATCAATTACTCTCTGGCCTCATATGCATTTTCACATGCTTAGGAAGTTCCTGAAAAATACCATGGTTTGAGTCAGGTTTATGTTAGTCTTAAAAGTGACACCCTTGTTCTTTAGCAATTTAAAGTCATCCTTGACAACATCTTTTTGCTTTCTTGACTGCTGCTAATGTGGGTGTTCATTGTGGACCCAAGTAAAACTAAAACCTTAATAACTTCAATCACTTCTCCATTTTTTATACTGTTACCTATTGATCCAATTGTGAGGATTTTGTTTTATGTAGAGTTGCAGACCATACTGAAGGCTGGAGTCTTTAATTTTCTTCCATAAGTGCTTGATGTCCTCTTCACTTTTCACAAGTATGATGTTTGCGTATTACAGGCTGTTGATTCTTAATTCTTTCCTGATGCCACATTCTTCTTCATATGGTCTAACTTCTTGGATATTTGATTACTATACAAATGGAATAGGTGTGGAGAAAGGATACAGCCTCAATGTATACCTTTCCTGATTTTAAACCGTACAGTGTGTTCTCTTCAAAACACTGGTCCTTGGTTCACATACAGGTTTCACAACGAAGGGTTCTGGAATCCAGGTTTTCTCAGTATCATCCATAATTTACGTTATAATTCACACAGTCAAATGCTTTTGAATTCTTAAAAAGACACAATTTTTTTTTAATATTCTCTTCTTTCAACCAAGACTCATTTGATGTCTGTAATGATAGTCTTTGTTTCATGGCCTCTTGTGAATCCAGCTTAAATTTTTGGCAATTCCTGGTCCATAGACTACTCCAGTCATTTTAAAAATTATCTTCAGTAAGATTTTAATTTTGTGTGATATTAATGATTTTTTTAAAATTTCCACATGTTGAATAATCTTTATTTGAAAGGGGGGTGGACACAAATGTGGGTTACTGCAATCAATAGATAAGGTAGCTATCTTCCCATTTTGGGGAATTAGATGAGAGAGCATATCCAGGGTTGTATCTGTTTTCTGAAACACCAAAATTAGAATTCTGTCAGATCCTGGAGCTTTTGAACGATGCTTTTAGTGCACCTGTTACTGCTTCTTTCCGTACCACTGGTTCTTGATATTCTGCTTCCTCAATCTGACCTACTCAATCTGAATGTATTATGCTTAGATTTCTATAGGCAAATGACACACATCTAAGTAAATTATTCTCCTTATATTTATATGTGAAATATACTGAAATTATTTCCAGTGTAAGTAAATTATAACAATATATTACATATACTTCACAATCTTAATTTAACAGAAACACTGAGGAATCAGCAAAAAAAAGATAAGAATTTGTGAAATATAAGTCATTAATGGCAAAGAGTTATTTTGAAGCTAATGTAAGGAACTCTATTATTTTTTAATCTAGGAAATAACATCAAGATTTATAACGAATCAGCTGGCAGAAGATAATCCCTTACTTAAGCAAGCCATAAAACACTACCCACAGGCCAGGGAGAAAATATCCCAGGAAAAAGTATGTCCGATATGTGGAAAATCGTTTCTAAACGTATGGCTAGAATGTGTTCAGTTTGTTCCTCCACTGAAGGTAAATTATGCATTTGGTGAGAATATAAGTCTGACTTCTATAATTTGTCTAAGTGAACCAATTCTAAACAGGATTGGTATTTAAGAATTGACCAGTACGATAGCATGTTAAGTTTTGATAGACGAATTTGCCTATGTGTCTATAATTGATCATCGTCAATCACATAGTTTACATTTATCAGCATACATATAACGTAGCAAAATTCCATAGAAAGGAATTTTTAAGTTAAAAAAAGGGAATTAAAAATCAACTTTAATTGTAAAACAAGAGAATTCTATTATATAGAAGAATTGTTGAGGAGTGTAATGTAAAACGTTTGCTCTTATAATGATGCTCTCGTACACGGAGAAAGGACCCTGGTGACAGTCTGTAGGGAGTTGCGCTGGTAACCCGAAGACAGCGCCTCCCGATGGTTCAAATCCGTCTGTGACTTTGTGGGAGAAATATGGACAGTCTCCTCTTGTGAGGGATAAAACTTCCAAAGCTCACGGGTTGGGCATATAGGAGTTGGTTTTGACTCAAAACTGACAAAGGGAGAGAGGACACTGAAGTGTAACCGCAACATTCTGCTTCCCAGGAGTTTTGTACCCCTGGACAGGTTACCCAGCCCCTGAAGCCTATACAAAACTAGAGGGCATTTTTTTTTCTGGAAAGAGGAAGGTAGTAAATTGTTTCAATTTTGCATAAGGCAGGAGTTCCTGGGTGAGTGCAAAATGTTGAACACTTGACTACTAATGGAAAAGTTTGTGGTTCAAACCCATCCAAGGTTACCTTGGAAGAAAGATCTGATGATCTACTTTGAAAATGTTACAGCCTTGAACACCAGATGAAGCACAGTTCCACTTTGCAATATAGCTATTGCCCTAAGTCCGAATTGACTTGATATGATAGCAACTAGTTTGATTGTCTGGCTTTGTGACCATAATGTCTCTGCTGAAAGTACAGAATTCAGTAGCCCTAGAAAATGCATAGAATATGATGGTGTTGCAGAGAAAAATGTATCTATAGACTTAAATTTGAATTTCATGTGTTCATGAATCATAAAATATTTATAATTTTTTTAACCATATAAAAATGTGACAATCACTCTTAGCCTACAAGTCATAGAACCTTATGCAGCAATTTTCTTGTCCTTTTCTAGACCATCCAACCTTTGTTCCTTACACCAGAATTTCCCTTGTCTTCATGGAGAACAGTTGACTTCTCTTAGGTCCAAAGTTTCTTCTCTATGCCTGAGCCACCCTATGAAGTCATACCTACTGCACACAGATCCCTTCTTTCTGTCGTTCTAGGAATGAAATGTGCTGGCTTATAATATGGTTTCCCTGAGAATTCTTTTGTACTAAATGTTTTCATGTTCTTCTTGGTTAATACTATAAAAATACATATTTTTGGTAAAATAAAGATAAAAAGAAGACTAACCATTCATTGTTTTGCTTTAGAATACATTCTTAACTAGTTTCAGAGGACGCTGGAAAAACTAAAATTTAGTGCCAGCTCACTGTGTGTGTGTGTGTGTGTGTGTGTGTGTGTGTGACTGATTTCTGTCAGGATGTATGAATAACCTCTAAATTTATTTCCGTCTCCTATGGATAGAAGGATTTAGGTTGTCATTAGACCACAGCGGTCTTGTGCCAATAAAGAACTGGAGTCAACGTCCTGCTAACACTTACCTCAGTGGCCATTCACTAAATATTCCCTTGCAGATGAAAACAAGAAAAATCCCTCAGATGGTTCACACCAGACCCACTAAGTCCGAATCAATATGAGTACAGCTCTAACATCCAAAGTTTGTAAAGTTTCTGAAATGACCTTCCTGTTTAGTCAGGACTGAGAATCTCCACTCTACCTGTTCAGGGATGTCCCAGCACCAAAGGATAATGGCTGTGTCTTATTCATTTAAGTAACCAAAACCTAGCTTGGTTGGTTTCACAAGGCAAAAATGAAGAATCATTGCTTGAACATGTAAATTTTCTTTTGTGACAAGAATTGATTTCTTTTTTAATGAGAGATGGATAATAGGTTTTTTTTTAAAGTAGGGGTAGGGAATACAGTACTCCTGGCAAACATTTTAATGGTTTATAGACCCTGGAACGTGAATGGATCTTTAGATGGACGTTTTTGGGTGTTTAGTCCAGTTTGTTTTCAGTCAGTTTACTTCTCAGAATTTGCTCGTGAAAAGACTTTCAATGTACTCTGCTCAGAACATAGTAAAGACTTCTGATCACAGTATTCTGTGTTCCTCGTTATCTGTGGAGCCAAGATTAGGTCTTTCTGAGTCTTTGCTACACCAGGACAGTGGATTCGCTTATCCAACAGCTGATAGCAGAATAACTCTTGTTTCACAGATTTATACTTCATGCATTTCTTTAACTGTGGAATAAGATCAGAACTTCTTATATCACAGAATTTTATTCTCTTTTTTAAACACAATTGTGGGACTTTTTTCCCTAAATTGTGGAGATTTCATGAAAACCTCTTCCCACCAACATTTTATTTGGAAAAATTTAAAAGCAAACAAAAAAAAATCTTGAAAACAGTAATACAATGAACAAATGTGTAACTTTTATCATAGCCACCAATTTTTAATATTTATTTTTCAGTTGACATTGCTAGTTTTTGCTCTTATGGACACATCTACAAAACAAATTTGATATTAAATAAGCTAAGAAAATCATCTAACTAGAGAGTTTCTTTCATGCTTGTGGAAAAATAAAGGCATCTTTTCCAATTACAAAATTATTAATAAATTAAAAATATGTCCTTGACACCAAGAAGAAAATGTTTTGCATTGGGAAAGTCTACAGTTAGGGACCTCTCCAAGTTTCTGAGGAGCAATGATGTTAGTTTTAGGACTAAGGTGCATTTGATTCAGACCCTGGTCTTTTCAATAAGTTCAGTGTTGCTGAGAGTTGAACAGTGAAGTAGGATGACAGAAGGAGAATTGATTCATTTGAACTGTGGTTGGAGAAGAGTAATGAATGGACTGCCAAAAGAACAGACATATGTCTTGGAGAAGGTGCAGGCAGTGTGCTCCTTAGAGGGTTGGTTGACGAAGCTTCATCTTGCATACTTTGGGCATGCTGCTAAGAAAGTCTATTCCTTGGAGAAGGACATCATGCTTGGAAAAGTGGAGGGACAGCAAAGGAGAGGAAGACCCTCAGCCAGGTGGATTGACACAGTGTCTGCATCAATAGGCTTGCGTGTGTCAGAGTTGTGAGGTGAACAAAGAGGTTAGTGTTCATCGTGCTTGTTCATAGCATCGCTATGAGTCATACTCAACAGCAACAAACAACAGTTAGCTAACTATGGATTGCCAAAAGCGAAAAAAACCGTCTGCCCTGGAAGAAGTACAGCCAGATGCTGCTGAGAAGCAAGGATGGTGAGACTGTCTCATACATTTTGGGCAAGTTATCACTCTAAATTGTCATTGTCCCTCATAGCTGACCCGCCTGTGGATTTTTCCAGGGGCTATAAATTGCACTTCTGGAGAGTTCTTATCTTTCTTCCAAGGAGAAGCTGATAGATTGGAGCTTCTTGCCTTTGAATTGGCAACACAATTCCCTACAGACTAGGCTACCAACGCTCTCAGAAGGGACCTATCTCTGGATGCTTGGTGAAGTTGTTGTTGTTGAGTGCCATCGAGTTGTAGATGTCTCATAGCGACCCTATGAATGAAAGACCTGAATGCTTGTATAACTGTCATCCTTTCTCCAGGTCCATAGGGTTTCTGGAGGCAAGCTATTATGGAAGTGGATGCCACTCCTGCTTCCAAGCTTGTTTTAATCGGGGAGCTCCCCCAAATACTGTCCACCATGGGTGACCATTATCGTTTGACACATCAGTGTCACAGTGTAAAATAGAAGACCCTTAGAGGGATGGATTGGTACAGTGGCTGCCACATGGGCTCAACCACAACAGAGATTGTGAGGAAGGTGATGCAGGATCTGACAATGTCTCATTCTACTGTACATGTGAGTCAGACTTTACATCATGGCACCTAACAACTACTAACTAAAAAGTTGGAAGTTCAAATGCACCTAGTAACAACATGGGAAAAAACACCTGGCAATCAGATCCCTTAGACATTTCAGCTGTTTCTTCTGTGCAACAGATGGGATCTCACCTTGAGCTAGAGTTGTCTTGAGGCATGGCTTTTTAGAAAACAAAAAGTGAGTTTTGGAGTAAATATATGAGGGAGGATTTCCCAGAGGGTGAGGAGGACATTTCAATTCAATGGAGATATTCCCTTTTCTGTCTACAAAAGCTTGAGTTTGATACTGGTGATTATAGATTACAATTAAAAATATTTGAAGAAGCATTACTTGGAGATATGGTTTGAAGGGTGGATTGGAACTTGGACAGAAAAGAATCCAGGTGAGGGATCTATCTGTTTAAAAGTAAATGATACAATGCATGGCGAGTATAGGAAACTCATTAAGGAAAAGTGTGGATGGGAAGTAAGGTTGGAGAGTTGAAATAAGATTGACTCTTACGTGTAAAGTTTGAAATGAATTTTGAAAGCTGTGAACAGTGGCTGAAGCAATGGAATGGTAAGATGAGGTTTCTGTTGGACAAGAGAGAACAAAGCCAGTGATGAAGATGTAAAGATTGATTGCTCATATAAATGTGATACTTGAAGCCACAATACTGAAGATTGCCTGAGGCTACCTGCACAGGGAGGTGAGAAGGCCAAAGTACTGAACCAGGGAGGACAGCTTGCAATAGTAAACCCTAACTGACTCAACTCATTGCTCTTATAACCTACACATAATTGTAAAGCAGTGAGAAAAAACTCAGGTTTCAACAAAAGGACAATGATTAAGAATAATCAAAGAATCAGGGGCAAAGCCAGGCAAAAACTTTCTAGCCATAAACTATGTAAAATAAGTTTTAATAATTATTGCTATATGTGTAATTTCCCCCCCCCCATTGTATCTATTGGGAGACTATTATATGCATGGCGCTGCGCAAGGGTCTCAGGTTTCAAGGATTAATTA